AAGAGAGGAAGACCGTCAATGAGACAAACTGACACAGCAATTACAACAATGACCTTGTCCATGGCAGAGATCATGAGGATAGCACAGGATATGAGAAGTTTCAATCTGTTGTCGATAGGGTCACTATAACTTAAAGGCACCTGACAACTTCATACAACAAAGCTTCATTTGTAACAGAGCATTTGCATATACAGCGTCCTTCCTACGGAAGAAAATCTCACAGCACTGAAATATTGGTAGTTTTTAGTATTAAAAGGCTATTTTGCTCACTGCTGTTGTTCTGAGGCACCACTGAGTATGACTGACTCACAGTGACCCTGTGAACATCAGTCCTGAACCGTGGCCTGTCTTGCACCATTCTCTCCATCTCTGACACACTCAAGTCCATTACTGCAGTCACTGTCAGTCCACTTGGTGGAGGGTCTTCCTCTCTTTCACCATCCCTCCACCATTACAAGCACCATGTCCCTTTCTAAGGAATTGCTCTCTTAGCAGCATGTCCAAAGTTTGTGAGACAAAGCTTCATCGCCTTTGCCTCCAAGGAGGACGCTGGCTGAACCTTCTCCAAGACATCTGTTTGTTCTTTTGGCAGTCCAGCGGATATGCCACACTTTTCTCCAACACCGCAGTTCAAAGGCATCCATTCTTTTGTTATCCTTATTCATCATCACTTTTTTTTTAGTAATGAATTTTGTTCACTTGTGCTGATCATCAAAGCAATATTCTCTATTTTTTCACTATAAAAATAATTATAAGATAGTTGTTTACTCAGTATATTTTGTTTCATTCTAGTATTTTCTATATGTGGGGTTGAAGTATTAGAGAAAACTGGGTAAACCATATACAAGGATCTCTCTGTATGATTTTTGTAATGTCCTCTAAATCCATATTCTTTTGAGGGGCATAAAGGTTAAAATAAAAACATGACACACACAGTATGTTGACATTTAACGAATGGGTGTAAGGGCATAATCTTATAAACATATCTACATATAATTCAGAAATAAATAAACAAGAAGACAATAAGTAACATACAGGTGGAAATGATACCTATCAGACTGGTGTGTGCTTTGGTGGCCTAGTGAGTAGGGCATTGTACTGTCAACACAAAGGTGGGCAGTTTGAATCCACCAGTTGCTTCATGGGAGAAGGATAGGCAATTAAGCAATCTCATCCTTTGTAATTTATAACCTTTGAAAACCCATGTTGTAGTTGTTGTTGTGTACCATCAAGTCGGAACCAACCCATAGTTGACACTCCAGCAAGTTTTCAGGGGCACAGGAGGAGTTCTCCCACAGAGAAGCTGGAAGATTAGAACCGTGCACCTTCAGGAATGCAGTGCGGATTCTTACCACTAGGCCTCCAGAACTCTAGGGTGTCAGTTAGGAGTCTGTTCTGAGTGGACAGGAATGAGTGAGTGATTAGGCTGGTACCTCAACCCAAGAGAAGACAGGCACCCCATCTGCATCGTTTCACCGTCACAGGAAAACCAGCTCTTCCAGGAACCCAGAGGAATGAACTCAGCAGTTGACGCAACCTGTGGAGCCTATTTCCTCAATTTCATTCTCGAATCAAACCTTTGTCTCCCAAGGTATATAGAAATGAGAGGTAAACCAAAAACTGCCACCACACATCATCAAATTATATAGAATGTGTGGGAATCAAAAACGCCTAAACATACTGCCACTGCCATCAGTTCTGCCTCACGACCACTTTATAAGGCACAGGTGAACTGCCCCGTAAGGTCTCCATGGCTGGAAGTCTTGACAGAAGCCAATGGGCTCATCGTTCACCCACAGACTAGTGAGTTTGTTTAGCAGCTGTAAGTCTTAAATGTAATGCCACCAAATGTCCTTCAACAAAGCATGGTCAAGTCTTTGCCCAAAGGTCTTCTGTTTTTCTCTATTGTGCTTATACACCTGGGCTAGCCTGGAGCCCAGTTCTACCAACGGTTACCGTGTTCCAGTACCAAAAATGCAGGAAACAGAGAGGCAGGGTAACGATGTCACAGAAAACAATCAAACAAGTCAGGAATCGGAGCGTTCTTAGCACAACTGGCGTGTTGTTGTTGTTGTTGGTTGTTGTTGTTGTTGTTGTTGTT